GGGTATTTAAAAAAAAAACCAAACACAAAACAAAACACAACCCCCCCCCCCCAAAATGCAGCCACCTGCATGTGCGTTGGTGTTGGGAAGACAGGTGGCATTGTCAGCGTTTTCCAGAGATATTCTTTAAAAAGACTATTTTTTATGTTTCTGCCCTAGTGCTTGAAGTATTTTCTTCCTGCCCCCCCCATATAAGCATCCTTCTGGAAGAGAAGATGCTTCCTACACTGGGTGCAAATTCATAGTCTAACCTCACTTGTAGGAAGGATTTAAGGTGGGATTGGATGGAAAATGAGGGCTGGAAAGGATGGTCAAATCTAATCCAGCCCCCTGCTCCAAGCAGGACCAGCGCCAACTCCATCATCCCAGCCAGGGCGGTCTCCCCTGGTCTTCAAAACCTCCAAGGGTGGAGAGTCCCCAACTTCTCTGGGTGACCTGTTCTGATGTTTCACCAGCCTCCTAATGAGAGAGTTGTTCCTAATATCCAGCCTCAACTTCCCTTGCTGCAGCTTGAGCCCATTGCTCCCTGCCATCTGCCCCCACGGAGACCAGCCTAGCTCTTAACGCAGATCTCCTCATTAGAAAGGACCGCGCGTTTGCTGGTTGAAGCCATTCAGTTCAGTCCCCGAGCTCTGCAAGTTCCTCTCCTGTCTGACTTTTGGCTTTCAAGTCCGCTGCAGCGTGGTTGCTTTCCCAAGCTCGCAAGAACGGCGCTCGCCCGTCAGCCGAAGGGATCTCGACGCAAGCCGTTAGGTGGCACCGTTTAGCTTTGTTGTCAAAGTCTAATTTTTCTCCTTGGAAAATAACCCACCACAGAGGAGGCTGGCAAACATCTCACTCGGGCGCTCTTTAAAATGCTCCTGAGCAATAGGATGATGATTATTTTTCCTCGACGAGACTTCCCATCCTTGTTTTCCACAGCCTGGCATTTCTGCTCGCCTTCTTTCAGGCTCAGCAGACGGGGAGGCTTTCGGTCTCTCTTCCCCAGCTGGACAGGCAGGAGCTTTTAGAGGCATCGTGATTTTTTGGCTTTTTTTCTCCTTTTTTTGCTTCCTAATAACAACTATTCGGGCAATAGCTGCTGATCGACTCAGCCTGACCCCACAAGGGGGGAGGGAATAGGAAGTGAAATTCTCCCAAGAGATCTTTGATCTGTTTTGCCAGTCAATAATAAAAAATAAAAAAATAAAAAAAAACCCCAACACTCGCTTAGAGACGAGATCTTTTCTTCCTGGAACAAGGCAGCAATCCACTCTTCTGCAAAATCATTATTAGGCAGCCTTTGAATATTTTAAGTGTGTGTGTGTGTGTGGGGGGGGGTGCTTCTTGTGCAAGGCAAGAGCTGTAGTCTTACTGTGCGGTGCTCTATTTGAAGCCAGAAAGCCCAGCATTTAAAACTGGAAAACCCATCTATGCAACCAGCCCCCCCACCCCCATAGGGTGGATTGATCTTAAATAGATTCCCTGAGCAATTTGAGCTGTTAAAACAAGCCCCCTCCAGGCTGCCAGGAAGCAGCCCAGGTTTGCTCCCAAAGTCCTGATCCTTTAGGCCTTTAATGCAACATTGGGAATAATTATTACAAAGCTTTGGCCCTTGAGCGGAGAATGGGGGACGCACCAGGGACGCCTGGACTCGGGTTAGGAGTTTCTACTCAAAATCCAGGGGCGGTTTGCCCGCGGACCATCTCTTGCCCATGGATATGGGTCCCCAATCCATCCACACAACCCTTGATGAGACCTAGCCCCCTCCCCTGTCCCAGCCCATGCTTTGGGGCTCGGATCTGCCGTGCGCGTGCACACGCGGCGCTCGGCTCCTTTTCTAACCCCAGCTCAAGCCTCCCTTCCCAGCCCGATGCTGAAGGACGGGAGGAGGGAGAAGCCAGCGCTCTTGACAAGATCTCGCGTGCTGCAGAGCTCCCTGCCCCACTTCGCAGCCCGTCAAGGTTATTTCAGCACCGTTCGAAATATTGTGACTGCACCAAAAACACACACGAAACAAAACAAAAAAACCCCCAAACAGCTCCAAAACAACCCCCCCCCCAACAAGGCAGCTCCCCTGGGCAGCCGGCAGGTGGCACTGCTGCCCCACACATGGCAACACAACACTCAGTTTTCACAACAGTGCCCCCCCCATTTCTGGACCGGGGAGGGAAAGAGTGGGGGTTGACATCAAGTCCCAGCTGGCATTGAAACAGCAAACTGGAACTTTTCAATTAAAAAAAAAAACCCCAAGAACTACACACAATCACCCCCCGCCCCCCAGACACATGCACACACAAAATCCCACGCGCACAGTCACAGCTTGTTGCCCTCCCCAGCCCGTCTCCCACCATGGCTCGGGCAGCATAGCCCGCTCCCACCCCACGACACCCGGTGCAGACACACAGGGCGGGGGGGGACCCTATGCTCGCCCCGCCGACACGGGCCGGGCTTGGCACAGCGGCACTGGGCCCCCCCGGGAAAGCCAACGCGCTCGCGGGTCTCTTGCTCCAGAGCCGCGCGGCTACCTCCAGGAATAGCGTGTGGAAAGGGGCCAAGCTGAACTTCACTTGAGCTGCAGATTTACGAGGCCTGTCTCCCTGCCAAGGGCTCGGCGGTAGTAAACAGTGCCTACACCAGGCATAACCCGGGGGGCTGTCCCTGGGCCTGAGAGCAGGGGACACGGGGGGGGTGCCACCTGCATCCCATCCGCAGAGGCCCCACAAACTCATTGCACTGATTGTTTCCTTTTAGGGTGTCCCCCCACACTTTGCAATTCACTGCCACGGAGCTGGGGGATGAGCCTCTCC